AAATTTACAGTATTACCATAGTTCTCTAATTCTAGCTCATGCATTTGCATGCCAAGAAAAGGAATAGGCTTGAGGAAAGGAAACTCTATGATTTAGTCTTCATCTAATATAATCAGATGACAAAGGAGTGTTTTAATAATTGTGACAAGAGGGATCCCATTGCAATGAAAGACATAGGTGACGCCAGTGAGTGGTTAGTTGATCTTGGAACCGTAAGGATCGTCTCTATTAGGGGTTTGACTTGGGATATGGTTGAGGAGGCTTTAGGGCCAGCTTCCGACCCTAGGAAGACAACTAGATTAAGTACTACACCTAGTTCACAGAGGGAGAATGAGGAGGAAAGCAGTCAGAAGAGACAAAGGAGAAGGACCATTAAGTCGAGGGTGATGATTTTCATAATGATGACCTAGAATCAGATGGATGTACGGGTTTGAAGCTGGCAGCGAAGAAAATTAAGTCCATATCATTTTGGTTCTTTATATTGTGGAATATGAAGGCAGATTTGTGCTTAAGTGTTTATTTATTTGAGCACTTTGAATTTATTGTCTTGGACATGGAGCCATTAGCAAAACATATTCAGCAATATAGATTGATATTTAAATTTTAGAAAAGCTATGGCTATTATCTTTTACTATAAATGGACCGCCCGAGTGAAGGAATCGCCACAGATCCCGATTCTTGGAAGTTAGGAATCATGAGTCCATATTGTTTGAATCGCATTCCGATGTCTTTGGAATCCAGGTTCCACAACACCAAATTCTTGCGATTCATAGGTGCACAAGATTGTGATTCAACCAATATGAGACCTCACACCAATCTTAAGGACTAACAATCAAAGATATTTGGAATCTATATCCACAACAAAAATGATTGGCCAAAAATTTTGTGGAGCCCTTGGAAATTTGTAAACATTATTGAAAATTTTTTGTTACTTAAAATTTATTACCAGTTAATATATGATGGGTATCTAAAAACTCTATACGTTCGACAAACTCTAGTTTTCATCATTCCTAAATTTCAAGAATTTGTAATAAATTCTTATTTCTAAAAAATACATTATTAATAAATAAAGTAATTTTATTTTCACTATTCAATCTAAAAGCTCTACGAAATACTTAGTTAAGGGTACTCGACTTTTTTACCAATACTTATGGAGAACTGCGATAATGGGCACTGAACACATCAACTCCAATGTTAGGGGAGGGCTGTCAAAGACATCGATTCCAATAATAGGGGAACCCTGGTAAGCATACTCAATATATGGAGTCCAATGCCAAGGAATTCTTGACTATATAAAATCTAAAATATTAACCTTTGCTTTTTGGAACTCGTTTCTTGGTAATTTCAGGCCTAGTTCCAAGTGGTCTGGTGCATGATTCCCATAAGCTAGGAATCTCGATTCCAAGTTGAAGGGGTTGTGATTCCAGCAAGATAGGAATCTTGATTCCTATTGGATTGAAGTGTGATTCGCAATTAATAAGAATCCTGCTTCATGTAATATGCATTGTACGAATAGTGATTTTGACTATAGGCATCATTTGGCCACCCCTAATTCTGTGATTTTGGTTCCTAAAACCAGTGGTTTAAAAAACGGATCGGTGCCCCCGATTGGGCACCCCAAAAATGCATCCGGATCGGTGAATTGGTGATTCGGATCAGGAACCGGCCAAATCGGTCGGATTAAGGCTTAAAAAAAGTCCAAAAAAATTGTTAAAATTCATTATAAATGTTGTTTTTTAGGAATCCAATAAGAAATGGGGGTACTACATTATTAACTTTCATTTTTTTCATCAATATGCAAATATTGAGATGTTCTTTCCCTGTATGAACTTATGTTAACCATTAAATTTACATCACACAAAAGAAAAATCATAGAATTATCATGTATGAAGTATATAATCATACATGGACTACAATAAATAATGGTTTAAATCGATGAAAAAATGGCCAAAATCAAAATCTCGAATTGGCGGAGAATCCTAATCCGTTAAAAAACAAAACCCAAATTATTACAATCTAACTAACTATAATCCAAAATTATTACAACTTAACTAACTATAATATTATATAATGAAATTGAAATTGTTGGTTTACATTTTATAGTTATTTTAGCATATAAATAATAACAAATCCAAAATATCTTATAATATTATCTAATTTAAAATGTATTATTGACAACTATAAGAAAAAATAGTACATTACATAATTTCTAATGCAAATAAATTAAAATAAATAAAATAAAAGATTTGGTTATCAATGTAGAAATAAATTATAAAGTGGTATGAGTTAATGTTATTTTTCTCTCTTAAAATATCCTCTAAACTAATACTTTTTAATATTCAATAAACTAGAATTAGTATTATTTTTTGTTTTTTTAATATCCTATGAGCTAGTACTAATTTTTAATCTCAATTACCTATTCAATTAATTATTAATCATATAATGAAATAATCCCGTGAGATAATAGCTTAATAAAGTTTTTATGTTTTATTTGGGTAGGTAAATTTAAATTTTTTTTGTGAAAGATAGGGGTGGTGAGCACCCAATTATTATTTTTAATAATTTTTTTATTTTTTATCAAATAATTTAATTACCAACATCGAGCATACACCCTTCTTATTCACGACGGGCATACCATCGCAGCTTTTTACCTTTAAAGTTCAAACGTTTTATAAAGTTTCAAACGTATATTAAACCCTCACGTGGGTTTAGTAGGAAGCAAAGGTACAAAGAATAGTCCCACATCGAAGAGATGTGGGATAGAGAGGCTCTATAAAAGAAGCAAGCCAATCGCCTTTGTTAACATATTTAAGCAAGTGGGGCAATGTAGGTGGGTCGTGCACGCAGATGTGAGCAAGTGGGGGCCACGAAATTTGACTTTTAATACAAAAACAGAAAATTCAAGTCAATCATGACGTCATCATGACATCACTGGGACGAGTTGCGAGATCATGACGTCATCATGTCATCAGCGGGGCAATTCACTCTCGCGACTTGCCGATTTACTGTAGTAAGTTGCCGATTTTCAGAAAAAATTGCCGTTTTAGCTCTAGGGTCGCCCGGTTCCGGTATTTCACTGGAATCGGCAAGGTGTGGCAGATTTCTGTGTCGACTCGGGCGATTCCGGGTCGACTCGACGTTTTTTAAATCACTGCCTAAAACAATTTGGAATCACAAGCATTTCCAACAACCATATTTTTTACTGTTTAGTTGTTAGGTTGTTACATCTTACATTTACTGACTTACAATAGTGAGATGTAATTCAACTTACAAAATCCAATTCAATCAATTTGTTGTATGAATATATACATGCATATATACACACGCATATATATTACGTCGACCTTTGAGTTACCACTGTAAAAGTTTACCTACGCCCCATTTTTGGTCTACGTTGTATTTGTTTAGGGTCATTTTTTACACACGTCCCCTTGACTGGAAGGGATGCACCCATGAAAAAAATAAAACTAAAAACGATTTTTTGAACAGAGTGAATATGGTGTATTATGAGTTGTTTATTCTGGTGCATCTTAGATCTACAGTTAGATGTCCTCAAAATCTTTTTTTTTTTTGATAAATTGTTCATATAATGTTTCTAGTAACATTCCCAAAATATGGAATTAAAAGATTCAATCTACCACCAAATTTTTTTTTTTTTTGTTGTTGTTGGGGGGGAAGGGGCCGTCACTTGGTGTGACGGTAAAAGGCTCCGGTAGCCAGCACAAGAGCGCAGGTTCGAGTCTTGAGAACGGCCACTTTTGTGCATAAGCCAAAGGTTAGGACCGTTTTCAGCCCAACCCTCCAGGGACCCTGCTTAGGCGGGACTAGCACCGGGTTATGGACCTTTTTTTTTTTGTTGGGGGTGGAGGTGGGGAGTAGGTGAACTTGTACAATTTTAGCCTGTAGGTTAATGTGATCTTAGGGAAAATTGTCAAAATACCCATGAGAGATGAACTATTTAACATTGTACCCAAAATTAACAAAATACGAATGTGAGATGAACTATTTAATATTGTACCCATATTCTTTGATAAAATTTCAACATACCCATAAAAAAAACACATGATGATGGGTTCGAATGGTACCACAAGTGCAAAATGCAAAATCGTACATCTCTCACATGTAATTCGATAAATTTCCTTTTTCCATATATATGTATGCATGCATGTGAGCACACACATTTGGAGCACACATCTATGCATTTAAATGTGTGACGAGAGCCTCGGACACCCAAACAGCTAGCCCCCCAGGCTGCCTAGAGCTTTAGCACACCAATGACCAGATCTTTTATAAACTATTAAAAGCCCTTGAATCTCAGTCAGACAGTTATTTGAACAGTTATTTGAATTCTGAAATCATACAGTTGAGGTAGAAAAGAACTCATTCAAAGAGTCAAATTACAGCAAATAACAACTGAAATCCCTTGAGGCCCTATGTCCTAAATATAAACATCTCCAAGCTGGATAATGATTTCTGTGATAATAAATGCACACTATGATAAAGATGATGTCTAAAGGAAATTGGATCCTTGCTTGTTACAGTAAAACTTTGGCTGCTCATGAATGAAGATATTCTTCAAATTTTTTTGGCCAGTCATGAATGAAGTTATTCTACAAATCCTTTTTTATTTTCATTTTGTTTTTTTCCAAATAATCTTCAACAAATCTTTGATACAATAGAAATTACAAAATCCAATTGCCTAGATTACTCTATAACAATATGTTTCTTGGTTTAAAGTCATAAGCCAATGACAGAGAGTCAAAATTGTGATCGAACAAGAGCAAATTCCATTTTAACCATTTCCTATTATCAATATTGTCATCATCAAATAGATGTGCATATGACAATACACCACAAAGCTACTTACAGATAATGATAAGAAAAAAAGGGATAAAATACAGAGAAGCACAGTGCATAGATGCCAGGATTCCCACAAGTGCGAACCAATTCTAGCAGATCACGTTTAAATATTGAATAAATATTGAATATGAATATCATACCTGATTAAGCATCCACTTTAAACCAACTGCGGCTGTACATTCATTTTTGGCCGCACTACTAGTCCATTCTAGATTGTAAACCTTATCCAATGTCCTCAAAACAGATGAAACATTACTTCGTCTCTCTTTAACAGAAAATATTTCTCCATTGGAGCTGATGTTGGGGTGGCTGTTGAGTAATGTTTCAAACCACCCACTTCCAGACCTTTGCATGGACAAGATTGCGAAAAAACGAACAGGAGTACACCGGCATTCGCTCCTGTAGATTAAAAAGTCACTAAAGTAGGTTGAGAAAATGTAATTCATGCAACAAAAACTGAAACTACGAAAATAGTACCTTCCATAAGTTGTAGGTTTTGGGTAGTGCACATACAAACTATCTTCTGGTTCAATACTATTATATGGACAAGGATTTCCAACCATAACAATCTTTGGCATGGGATACTTGGGCTTCACATGTGTGCTTATCTGCTTTAAACAGACAAAGCAAATGAAAACTCCACATATCATCGCAAAGATCAATAGAAGCATCCGCAATAAAAGAGGTGACTTCTTAGATGTCTTTATGGCAAAAATATCCTGCAAACAAGGGCTAGCTTCCATTAATAAAAAATGGTGCCACAAATCACATCGGATCAACCAAAACATTTGAAAAATTACTATACAATACATACCACAAATAATGGGTCAGACAAGTACAAGAAGATGAAGTTTACTAGTCATTTGTTTATGAGTGCAGGTGCCCAGGATCCATACGAGAGCAACAAAAATATTTGAATGGAAAACAATCTATGGATAGTATTATAAAGTTTGGTTTGGAGGTGTCTTTTAAAAGATGATCAAACTTTTAAGTTAGTTTGGGTTTCAAAGTTGTGTCATCACTTTCAAGAGTCTTTTTTTCGGATGGCACTTTGGGCATAGTGCTATATATGTGTCCTCAAGTAACTTTTATAATTTATCCTTTGGTGTTGCCACCATATCATCTATATGCAAGATTACATCAAAGGCATTCTAAATTTCACCTACCCTGCAAAAGCTAAAAATGATCGATGATAACACAGTTTATTTATATCATATGGAATGGAAACTTGACAATGAAAGATTAGTGACATACATCAAATCAAGAGCATGCAACAAAACTCATCTACCATTCACATTAACAAAATTGCAGGATCAAAGCATCCACAGATTACAGTAGCAGAGACCAGTTACAGCCATCTAAACCAGAAGTAATTCATATTAAATACCCCAAAACGATAATGGCGATGGTGCATTTATGTTCAAAAATGAAAATTTGACCTCAATGTTTTCATGCAACAGAGGACTAGAAGAAAAAGTGGAAACCCTGATAGGACACATCAAAGGACAAACAAAAAACAAAAGGTAAAAAAGAGAGAGAGGAGAGGGAATAAAACCTTATGGAAGATCCAGCAGTTCTCCATCCTGTCTGAAACTCCTCAGAGCTCCTGTACAACTAGGGACATTAATATCTAATGCCTCATGCACTGCATAGCAAAACCAATTGGGAGATAAAATGGAAATGGAAGAGAAAAACAGGTGAAACGAGATGCAGGCGATGATGGTGGACAACTGAGTAAATGGCAGAGAAAAGGAAGCGGGAGTTTGATTTTGTCGATTTGTTTAGTGGAGATCCTCTACTTTTCAAACTTTCATCTAACTCTCTCTCTCTCTC